GGGCGTTAAAAATGCAAGTAGTGTTTCATCGAGGAGGATCTGCAGGTTCTGAATGCATTCTGGCCTTTTCGATCAAGTTCTTTTTCTCCCCCGTGTTGGTGTCTGGGACAAAAGTCACGCAAGCATATGATACCAGATCGAATCATAACAGATACAAATACAGAAAAACTACGGTTGAAGTCGTAAAGAAAAGCAAGGAGCCCGTGGTGCCGTGGTAGAGTATTGAACTCAGGGACCAAAGGTCCCGGGTTCAAATCTCGGGGTTCCAACCCGTGAGATTGGGTATCTGGCTGATGACGGCTAATAAGCCAGAAATGGCCATTCCGGTCTCCCTTTGTGGCTGATGACGGCTAATAAGCCAGAAATGGCCATTCCGGTCTCCCTCTGCTTTGACCGATGACGGCTAATAAGCCAGAAATGGCCATTTCGGTCTCCCTTTGCTTTGTCGCTCAAATCTCGGGCCTGCCAACCCTCGAGTTTGGCTATGACTGGCTGATGATGGCTAACAAGCCAGAAATGGCCATTCCGGTCTCCCTTTGCTTTGTCGGATCCCTTTCATCAGACCAGTTATCATTTAAATCCTTCTGGGTTGTTGTTAGCAACCGCAGATGGTCAGCAAAGTGAATATTTATGTGCCTATGCAGTAACCGGCTTTAGAGTATGATAAATCAGTCACAAGCTGAGAAAAAAAATGAGATTTCTGGCTAAATTAACGGCTGTTGCGCAAACCGAATCTCACCATCCTAAGAAGGAAGCGATCTACCAGCCTAAGTAAAACGAAGGTTGAAGTTCCCCAAATTTGATAAATCGGTCCGCAAGACAGAGAAGTCTGCTGCAATGAGTCCTTAATATGACCGTAAGACAACTTCTACAGATATGGTAGGCAACTGCGTGAAACTTTCCTTGTCAACTGAGCTAACAGCACGCACACGGGAGAGGAGAGGGGGAGGAAAATGCACGGTCAGTTCCTGTGTCTGACTGCACTACCAATCAGATTGTTCCAGTCCAGTCCCTGACTTATAGCGGTAGAGGGCAATAACGGAAGTAGTAAGAACGCCGCGCCAGTCTTCCGCACAACAAACAAAATCACTGGTATGTCACCCTTAGTCACGCCCGAGAATTTGATAGTCCTCTTTAACCATGCTGGATAGACTAGAACACTCTACTTTCGTGCAGCCCTTATGATTGGAACGGAAAGGAGGCAGCAGCAGCAGCAGCAACAACAACAAGCATAGTGAGTTGATGAAACTGTGTACTCAAATGTACAATGTGCTTTGAAAGAATCTTTACAATGGATTTGCACCTCAAACTGCAGCCAGCCGAGCAACAGATCGCGAGATGCCAAATAAGCCCGATGAAAATTCCCTAACCTAAGGAGAAAGACAGGTGCATTAAAACAAGCCTGGAAGCATGCTGAACCAAAATAATATTAACAAAAAGTGAGAAATGGAGTCTATATGGCAAAATTCAGGGGGCGAGGACAGACTTCTCGTTCTTCGCCAGAATAACCTCTAGACTGCTCCATTGTCTTAACGTACACCCAGCAGCCTAGTCACGGCTGGAGGCGAAGGCAGTGCTGTAGAGGTGCGTCGGTGGCATGGAATCGATCAGTAATGTGCTCCAAATAAGACTCGACAGGTTTGTGGGGCGGAGAATTCGTAGTAGTAAATGTGATCTGGGGAGGAGGGAGATTGTGTGTCCGACACCACAAAGTCATAAACAGACCCATCTGGCATGGGGATTATGGGGATGTCCTGGGTGCCGGCTGTTTCTGCGTCCACTAGTCGCAACAGATCTAGGCCTGTTTCAACTGGTGAGACACCGGCCGCGAGAGCCAGGGTCACATGTGCCCGACAGCCGGCGGGTCTTGTCAATTGTGGAGCTGGGTGAAGAATGTAGAGAGTAAAAAAATGAAAAACATGCACAGGAGATAGTTCACTCGTTTCAGGATACGAAGAACATCACTGTTTCAATAACACTGTGGTCGGTAGAGTAAGGAATGGGTCATAGCAGGGGAAATTTGTGCAGCACTCCAACACACCTACTTTGTTCGCATCGCCAAACTACGTTAAAACTGACGCTAAGTGCGCGCCGACCAAATTGCCAGCTCATCGGGAAGCCCAAAGTTGAAGCAAATTGCATATTACAACACTACTGTTATTGGGCTTGGTGAGGCTGCGGTCATGTCTGATCTAGCCGGCCTCGATGATGTCACGCACTGTACCTCCCCACGCGTTACGACCGGCGGCAGCCGATCTGGACAGTTCAACTCATTCTCCTTGCCAACAACGGAGACCGAGTACCGAAGGTTCAAAAACAATTTACATATCTTGAAGAGCTGTGTCGAGCCAGGTTTTGAGTTTATAACCGCGCCTAAGTCGTCCCACATGGGTGGCCCGGAATATCATCCAGATGTCGGAGCGAGTGCAGACGGCCATATTTGAGACGAAGTCGGTATAATTTCCTCGAAAGATGATTCGTAGCCAGTGGTAGATAAAAGTCGAGTTTTGGTTCATTTTCCGCGCACAAGACAGTTCGACCGTACTTTTCGACGAGGCCCAAGACTAGCGCAAGGGCGGGAGCTTGCGCGTGATTTAGTTTATGGTATTCTTAGACTTGCATGGCATCTAGCGCACAATCTCCTCCCCACTTACCTGTGCCCAGTGTCATAAATAAGTCCAAAAAGATCTCGAAAGAGAGGGGATGGAGTGGCTGTCGCGGTAAGAATCGGCACCCAGTCACGCAACCTAATCTTCTAAATCGTATAGGAATGCCCGGCAAGCATGCCCCACTTTGGTGCTAGAGATATCGCTTTCTAAGGACGGTGAAAACCCTAACTCTGTGTCGAGGTAAACGAAAATGTCCACTTCTTCAAGTCGGTAGCCACAAATTCTGAGTGCCTTCTCCTAGTCAGCGATGTAATTCGAACACGCGTTGGTCTTCTCAGCGTTTACGGATACAGCAGCCAACTAAGCAACTTCACTCACACGCGGCACCACGGCCGGTAGGTCATCAGAATTCGTTGTTAGTAAGGCTATATCTTTAGCGTGGTCGAGGTCAGTCAGCGGGCGCTCGGATGCAAATTTACGACGGTCAACACCGTGTAGGCCCCTTGCGAGAATTAGTTTGACGGCGTTGTTGAGCAGAACAAGTGACAGGATACAATGTTGTCGAGTGCTGCTTCAAATGTCAAGCAGCTGGGCGATATTAGA